GGGAAATGACAGTGAACTTAACTATCAGCTTCTCATATTTGGTGTATGTAAAGCCTACAGTATGTTGAGCTTAGGGGAAAATGAGAGTATACCGAGTTTTCTTTTGTTTTAGTAAAAATGTAATATTGTAGTCAAATTTGATAGTGTCTATTTAACCATTACTTATTCCTGCAAAAGTTTGTAAACAGCAATCAGTGGATGTTGAATTTTGTGTAAAATAAATGATGATTGTTGTAATTAATTAATTTGCAAACACGTGACCCCTAAGGAGTTTGAAATGTAAATTTTTGCCGGAAAGCCCCTACATCTTATTAGTTTTCCAAGATGAGATGTCAAAGATACCCATCATCGATTGTGTTAATATGCCCAAATAATTATATTTAATTACTTTCTAAAAGTTATTATCCCAAATTATATTCTAAAAACTAAAACCCACGACGACGTATTCTGTGAATACTAAACGAGCGCCATGCAGCACAACTGATTTTTTAAATACTTAGTATTGTTAATTCAAGACATGAAAATGAAACATGTGAAACAATCAACTGAGAGGTATACATGTAGCTTATATTGCTCCTTATTCTAAAAAACAAACATATGGATGAAATGGTTGTTGTAGCCGACGCTGATAGAGCCAAACATATAACGATAACCATCCCTTAGTTGTACACTACTCGCGTTATAGTACACTGTATACAACCAATGACCCTATTTTAGCAGTCTCTGTTATCTGATTGTTGCAAAGTACATTTCTAGTAATCGTATGAGGTAAGCATGTGGGGGGCTGTATATGACTCATGTGGAGGACTTCAGACACGGTGGTCAGGTCAACCATGTCATCGTGCTAAAAGTGTGAATGTGGCAAAGGCTTCTTTACAACCGCCTGATATAAATCATCTCTTTTTAAGTCTCCTGATAAAGTTCATGCAATTCGGAGAGGGCGCGCATACGTATGTTTCTGTGAGTGAGCGAGTTTGGTTTTACGCCGCGTTTAGCAATATTCCAGCAATATCACGGCGGGGGACACCAGAAATGGGCTTTACACATTGTACCCATGTGGGGAATCGAACCCGGGTCTTCGGCGTGACGTGCCCACTAGGCTACCCCACCGCCCCGTATGTTCCTGTACCAACGGACCCCATATAATGAATTTATTATACCAAGAATGGTGAAGATTTGCAAGTGGTATTTTTCAAAATACAGAAAAATGATCGCGAAGTATAAGGTTACCTGGGTTACAGAAAAGTGGAACCACAGATCGAAATTCATGACATTACGCTATTTCTCGATTAACCTCTGATATGCGTCCTTGTCTGTTCATACATTCCTTGCATTTTAACAAATACAGTTTCGAAAAGGACACGGAAATTAGGACAGATGAAAAGGAGGTTTTCACGTTAAGTTATAGCTTGTTCACCAATCCCTGTTATATTTTGTTTGAATGAAATATGTTTTAAACCAGATAAAATGCTCTAAAGCTAAAAATTTGATCTCTTTAAGACCTCAATGATTTCAAATCTGCCTTAAGTACCAGAGCTAAAAATATTCATTTGCACCAAATAATTATATATATATAGGTTCAAGAGTTTGTCAAATACTCCACTGTAGCGATCTCAACGCTGACAAACAAAACAGACATATCAGAGAAAGCAGATTGTTTGTGTGACCGCGAGTCATTACTTCTTTGTATGTTCCAGATTTGACGCTATAAGAGTAAATAAATTTTATTATGCCAATGGCTTTTCATTAGAAACAATCTTATAATGGAACATCTTCCATGAACCCACAAACTCAATCCGATATCTTAAAATCAGTCCATCAATTTATAATTGAACCTAGACGTTTTAACTGAGATAATCCTATGCTTCAACCTATAATTCTCATAACTATATTACTACTGACCCCGACTGCAAATGCCATAAATTTATACAATCATCATGATCTTAATTGTTTTGACTACATGTCATACCATCTATTTACATTAGATATCATCTTTTCTTGTCATGATACTGTTTCATATATCTATGTATATTGGAGCGGTCTTCATATAAGTTCTTTTGAGCTTGTTGACCAATCCAATTCATGAAAATGTCGTTGTTGTATTTTCATGAAATAAATATATTTAAATCAAATGTATTTATAATTGATTGGTGTATATATGATGAGTGTCAGGCACCGGACCTGGGCCTAGGTTTTCGAAGCTCCCTTAGCGCTAAGATAGTCATAATTAAGTGCCATAACACGACATTCGCTAAGAGAAAAAGCTTCGAAAATCTAGGCCCAGATATAGTCTCGAGAAATATCCTCTCTTAGAGTATAGCGCAAAATTTTGGCGGGACAAAAGTCTTTGTTGTGTTGATACAGGGCTCCTCGCGACGCGTGTACAGGTGCCGATGCGCATATGGGCAGGGATTATTGTCGCCCCACGTTGGGTAGGTCAAGCCAGGGATGACCCGCTGCCCACTGGTTCAAACCAACACAGAGAATGTCGGTCAAGCACGATGTAAACTCATCTGTTATAACTATCATTCATTGCAACTTCTGATCTCTTGATACTCTGAAACACAAAGAAAAAAAACATAACTAACATTTAGAAACTGTTGATGTTGAAATCTTTAACACAACCCTGTCTGTAAACAACTCCAATGATAGGCGGATCCAGAGGGGAGTGGGAGGAGGGGGATGGGAGGAGGGACGAGTGTTAGTACAGAACCCAATTTGTATATTACTTGGCAGATTCCTCCATGGACCATGCTAATATGTAAAGCCATTAAATCGTATTATAACGGATGTGATGCTATTGTCTGGATGGTCGAGGCCAGTTTAATAACTGACTCCCCTGGCAGACGACAATCAAACTAGAGAGGTTCCCGCTAAAGCGCAAATATCCGTTCTGCCAGAGACCATATACTATTATGTTATATTATATGGTCTCTGGTTCTACATAGAATGACATTTGTTATAACAGTGCATTAAACCTAATCCTGACTGGTTTTCTTCTTTAACCTAAAGTCGTCAAGGTGTTCAACGTGGGTACACTATGTCTGCCTGCTTTTTGCTTACATAATATTTTCGTTCATACTTATCCCCTCCACAAACAATGAATCAAAATCAGAGACACAGGTTTGGCACTTGTCTGCCTCACGGTCTCTGAACCACATTATTTTCCCTACTGCCTTGCCCTCCCTGCAATGCTAAAGTCTACTTGAAGTAAGTCTAGATTTCCTCAGGTTCTGAATCTACCATCTCATTGGGACTCCTTTTCAAAAGGAATTACCACGTATGTGTTTCTGTCAATATTATATACATTCAGACACTAAGCGTTAGTCTTGTTTGGCACCATCAATATCGTTTCAACAAGTAACTTAATTACACTGACACCACAAAATCAGTGGCAAGGAATGATCAGGCAACACAAAACAATATTGAATATCATCACATTTGTCATAGACTGAATTTAGCAGTTATTGATCTTATGAGATGCAGGTCACTTTATATTTTCGAGACATTTTAAAACGTTTCTTTCTCTGAATCGTTATTTTGGGCGTAAACCAATTCCAGGGATACAATCTGCAGAATAAACAATCTGCTGTGTTGGCCTTACCTTGACCGTCGAGATTCGTGTCAATTCCATCAATTATCATCACAGTGTGAAATATACACTATAGATTAAAGCGGCGCCAGGCCAGTGAGTATCGTTCACTACTGCAACTGAGTAATATGTGTCGGTGGTAATTACACTTCATAAAGGGCGTATAAACACCATGACTGTTGGTCCAGTAAACTGACTTATCTGTAATTATGTTAATTAGCTTAAAGATGCCTCTAGCTCGTCGTTATTATCTCCACAAAAGCTTTTTGAACACGGAAGCTTCAGTGAGACTGACAGCTCGTTAAGTAAAAAGCTGAGGTGTCAGAAATTGAGCCCCGTGCCCGTTAGACCATGGCAATTCCAATAAAGTCACGGTTGGTCAAACAAATCCCATCCAGGTTCGGTCAATGCACGTGGACACTTCTGATGATCAAATAAACGATGGGCTTCTTTTTTTGCATGTTTATGTTAAGGTGTATATGGTGTGAACATGAATTGTTAAATGATTTTTAAAATGTTGTCACACATTTTTAACTGCATTTTATACTGCATTTGTACTTAACAAATGTGTACTTCTACAATTATGTTAATTGGAAATTGGCTTAATAAAAATAGGTTATGACAAATATGTGTTCATGTAAAACTGACATATAGGCCTAAATAAAGCCTACTTATTCTTAATACATAAACGGGCAACATTTTATTGTCTTTTAACTGCTTTTGGAACTATTTCAACATTACGTAACTGCATTTATACGCCTAAGTTAAGGTATGTAAAAAGTATATCTAAACAATAAACAAACAAAACCAAAAAGAAGGCCAGACAATTCTCTATTTCAGGAGCTGAGGCCATCTAGACTTGTACCCAGGTTAGACTCGTTTTCAGTTTAATCTCGAGTGTCTGAGAGACCCACTGGTGTTAGACAGAGTGGTGCATTTGCACTCAATTATGATCGTGAGACGTGCATACCTGGCAAAACTTAACCACATATCTGTATAATTTTACATAGGACAGGCTTTTGGGGGATTGTCAAACAGGCAAAATTGCCTATGTTAATGCCTCTTCCCACATAATATGGAACATACACACTTAGACGTCACACGTTAATTAAGGAAAACAAAACAAATGCTCATTGTTGAGGGGTACCAAGTGAAGTTTCGTGGACTTAAACTGGTGATAATGATACTGTCTTAAAAGAGTTGTTAAGTATCGTTGTTAGATTTTATATTTTAGTGATTCGATTTGTTTCTTGAATATAATTGTGGACTGATGTTGCTAGATTATTACCTTCAATATCATTAAATCGGCTATCACTGTACAGGATAGTTTTGATATCAAATCCTTTGGCGTCGAAGTACTTGCTTTGTCTCAAATGATTAAAACGAGGACACACACAAAAATAATGTAATGGATCCCCTGTGGAATGGCCACAAGGACAGGAGGGTTTTTCAACTAAATGCCTATCAACAAGGTGAGAATTCAAATCGCTACAACCAAGACGGAGTTTGCACAGTATTATCTGACAATGGCGTGATCCAAAGTTAGCATACGTTTTGTGGTTTGGACTTTGTACCTGGGTCATCCAACACAGATCAGTTAATGTTGTAAATTAATAAACAGATATTATATGAGTCGTGGCGAAATCTAATTATGTTTAAGGGTAATATTCTCCCAACTAGAACCTCCATGTTATGTGGGTGGATCTTTCTAATTAACTCTTGGAGTGGAAGCACTGGGGAAAATCGATCAGATAAATGGTTATTTTCCTGAATCTGTGTTTGATGTGCTTTGTTCCAATCGTGCTAGAATTCCCCAAGGTCACTTTTAATAGGACTTAGATAATATTGACGGGGTCAGTGGCTCTGACGTAACGTACAGAGGATGCTTGACCAACGAACCCAGCTTTTATTTTGCGTGGTTGTGTCATGTCTGTTGTGTTGGACTCAATTCCTCACATCGGGTCTGGTGTCCGGTGTTAGGTCTTTGGACAGCTGTTTACAGTCTTGATGAGCAGATAACACTTCCCTCTGTGCCTCTGTTGGCTTCTTCGAGTCTCTCTGACCCGAAAACTAAAACCAGAGGCCATATAATAGAGGGATAATTATATGGTCTCTGCTAAAACTGAGATTTCTTTCAGTTCAGGGACGTATCTGAGCCAGTTATTATGTGTAGGCAAAACGTTTAGAGTGCAATTATTATACGTACATATCCATGCTTTCAGCATGTTGAAATAAATTCACCTGTAACATTTTTCTTTCAAAATTGTCATTTCCTTTATTTCATTTTTTTAATACAAAATTATGTATAGGCAATTGCCGTTTTGCCTATATGGCAGCTACGCCCCTGGTTGAATTGAAAATTAAAAAAACCCCATACGATATGTTATATTTGAGATTACACTCTCTCATTAGTTCATATCTAGAGTATTCATTGAAATATATAGTCCTCATATTATGGATATTATGATTTCCTAAAAAAGGTATATGCGCTTTGTTTGCGGTTATTGCAGTTTAATATCTTCGCCAAATATCTTTTAAGAAGTGGTTAAAGAGATAAAATTTTCATTCACATGTTCCATAAAAACACGATTTACTTTCTTAATTATTGACGAATCACAGAGCTCGAGCTCGCTCTGCCGATAACAACAACCAATCGGATTCATCGAAAACGTACGGGCTGTGTGGCCACGTGACCTCCAAAACTATCAACGTCACATGTTGCGTTGCTCAAGGCATTCAAAACAATCGTCACTGGAGGTGTACGAAGGGTCCTTCACACAAATGGTGTGCCACTAGCCAAGTCAATTGGATATATGATCTAAGTGAAACCTTCGACAAACTATTGGATATATATGAGAGGAGAAAGGTCCCCTCTGAATTATGAGTTTTTTCGTTTTCCGGGTGTGGATTTCTTGGTATTTACCACATTGGTGTAGCAAGCTGTCTGAGAGAACACGCGCCACATTTTTTCCATGAAGGAAAGCTGTTAGGAGCTAGTGCGGGAGCCATCACTGCTTGTTGTTTTCTTTGTGGTACATGTTTAGGTGAGTTTATGTTTCTTTATATTTCATATGTGGCATCGGCATCGTCATCGTCCTGAAAAGACAGTAAATATCACCTGACTATTGCCAACCACAATAACAAACCGCATCTGACATTGCGTGTCGATTCGCTTGAAACAGTTGCTTCTTATCGCCGTTACATGCTTGATTTCTTGGAGATTGACAGTGAAGCTGATAAGTGTGGTATTACATATGACGATTTTGACTTTGTTCTTGTGATTATATGAACAGAAGATAGTATATTGTGTATATTATTGTCGGGATGTTCATTGCTGTCGAGGTTTTATAGTTCAGGGGGCGCTGTCAAGTGCTCATTTTTGATTGGTTGAAAATGGGGTGACTTGCCAGTCGAGGTCGCGAGTCATTGACTTGGCTTACACAAAAGTAGACTGTTGATGTTTATGTAACATGATTGCGACCAATTTTTAAAGACAGATTCGAGAGAATTCCTACATGAAAAAAGAAAGTTGATTTCAGATATGTTACAGCCATTTAAAATGTCTAAAGATCTTACATTTTATGTAGTGATATAAAGGAACTTCAATTAAAAGTTGTTACAAATGAAACATAAATTGGCAGCTCATCCCAGAATAAAGATTTTGCTGCTAACAATAACTTTCTCCTAATTTTGCTGTTAATTACATTCCACATGAAATAAGAAACATCTCAACATAATGTTATAGACACATAAAATTACATATACAGTACATTTAACAATGCCTTGGTACATGAAAAAACCCACATAACAATTTATTAGGCTGAAGTTATTGAATTATGATTGCTTGGTTTCAGGTGAATGTACAAGTTTTACTCTCCGACTAGCAACCAAAGCTAGATCGCGTTCCTTAGGACCACTGCACCCCAGTTTTGCCATTGACAGAATTCTCCGGGATGCATTGTGGGAGGTTTTGCCAGACAATGCCCATGAGATTGTGTCAGGTCGTCTTTTCGTCTCACTTACAAGAGTTTCGGACAAGAAGTGTGTGATCGTATCAGAATTCGACTCAAAAGAAGAGCTTATCCAGGTGAGACAACAAGGCATATTGTCACACCAGCATTACTAATTTACACTGGCCTCCTAATTTACGCTGGCCTCCAATAAGGGTTCAAAGGCACCCTTGTCTCATTATGAAATTAACACTAGCCTGTGTAGTTATGAAAGAGCTACTGGAATGTTTGGAGCCACCAATGCTGGCTTATGTTATAAAATTTGTAGATTATATGAGTACATAAGGTTTAAATCAACTGTCTCTTGATAGGGCATAGTCTTATTTGTGGAATACAACTATCAGTTATTTGTGTGAGTGCGTAGGATCAATTGATTTGGAATAATGTCCAAAGACATGGTTGTGTCAATACGAGGAAGTGACAGTAATGTCTGGACAGAATTTTTTACAATTATTACACCAAGATATTTGTGATTCTGCCAAATTCAGTCAGTAAAATACAAACACAATTGGGATGACATGTAAGTCAGCAAGTCTGACCACCCGATCCTGTTAGTTGCCTCTTACGAATCAATGAAATATTGAAATGGCACAGATGACCCATTTTCAGTATGCCCAGGCTCCATGATAAGGATATTAAAATAATGCTCACCACGATGCTTTAAACATGTTTAATGCAAAAGGCAATAAATTTTACCAATGATTCAAAACCTATTTTTGCTTTCCAACAAACTGTTTATCAATGGCACTTCCAATCTCACAGCCACTGTGCATTACAGGAAATCCGTTTGGATGTTAACATATTTTGTTGGTTATTTTATGGGCCCAGGACAAATGAAGCTGATCTATTCCTGCAGTCATGACAGTGTTTAGGAATCCAGCTCTTAAGTCCATAGGTTTACATGTTAACTCAATTATTAAACAAATTGAAATGGCATAACTGGTGTTATGGGCACATTTATTTTCAAAAGACACACCTAAATTATCAGTCTGCTGCCCAAATTGCATTTCTATCCCTGATTGCCATGTAACAAGTGAGTATGGTTTTATGCCACTTTGGGCAATATTCCAGCAGGGGGGTACCAGAAATTGGCTTCACATATTGTTTTCATGTTGGGAATCGAACCTGAGTTTTTGGTCTTTAAACTGTTGAAGCATATTCTACCCATCCAATTACATAAATGGGGAATGTTCTATTATATCCATGTTTTAGCCAGTTTTTCACCAATTTAAGCCCCTCTATGCAGACATAGTGGGGAATAACATAGGCATTTACATAGAAATATTCATGATGAATTTATAGAATGCATGTAGAAATGATAAATGTTGCACCCTAAGGGATGCACAATAATATTAACTGCACTATATTTTTGACAAGAACTGTAAAGGCCCTGTAACTATCAAATCTTACAATGCAGTACACACAACCATTTTATAACTTTACAGGACCCTTGAGGTAAATTATTGTGGGGATTTTGTGTTGTATTTCTTGTTGATACAATGGTCACTATGGCAACCTGATTGTAATGCCATTGCAAATGACCCCCCTGTGGGGAATCCTGGTTTATATTGGTCTCTAATGACCTATGCTGGTGGTAAGAGTGTGAAGTTAGTTTTAAGTCAAACTCAGCAATATTCCATCTATATTGCTGAGGTCTGTAGATAATCAAGTCTGGACCAGACAATCCAGTGATCAACGACATGAGCAACGATCTATGCAATTGGGATACGGTGACATGTGTCAACCAAGTCAGCGGCCTGACCACCCGAACCCTTTAGTCGTCTCTTACAGCAAGCATTGATTACTGAAGATCAATTTTAATCTGAATCTTCACGGGTAGCTCAATGGTCATAAGAAGGAGACTAAATGGAACTTGGTTGATGATGTGTCAGTGTACCATGATTATTGTTTATGATATTAATCACTGGTTTGTCTGGTACAGAATCAAAGGCTGTTATCATATAGCTGGAATATTGTCAACAGAGGCCCAGATAAGCTGCGTATCCGGGTAAAATACACATATAAAATTTCCAATTACGCATTGAAAAATAATTGTTGCGTACCAATTACGCATTTAAAATGTTAGATACGCAAAAAGTTAAAACAAATGCGTATGGATTATATTTATAAAAATCGCTTGCGTAATGCAAAAGACATCGATTGCTATCAAGTTGTACTGTTAGTATAGGACAAGTGTTGTACTGTCAGTATAGGATGAGTGATTTTTTATGAAATCATTTCCATTATATTTAAGTTGGTCTTGATTAGGTATGACATAAGGCAGAACATACCTGCTTAGTAAACTTACTCAGTCACATAATACTTAGGTGAGTAAAATGACAGAAATACGCACATAAATACAGTGGGTACAGTACCCACATGAGCTAAATCTTATCTGGAGCTCTGTTGTCTAGTTGGGTATTAAAAATAAACATGCAAAAATTTGTATTTACATTTACATATTGACATGACCAAGGGTAAATGATTAATGACTGGGTATAAGGGATTTATCATGACCTGAACAGTGATTTGTATATAATTCTGATTCATATTAAATATGCATGAAACTAATGCTATGGCTTTGTAATAGTGACTTGTATTTCAGTGATATCAGGACTAGTGGATAAGGTTCCATCAATACCTAATCATATTTATCGATCAGTTATTCTATTGCAGTAAGACATATTGCATTTTGAATGCAATGTTCTTTAAACTAAGTGTTAAATACATCTGAACATAAATACTGAAAACATCTCAACTGAGAATGTAATTATAAAATGACATTATTGTTTGAAAGCACAAGGGAAAGTGCATAACATGAGATAGCAGTAATGTAAGTATCATAAATGTGCAGTTTAAAGTTAAAATGTTCAATTTTGCGTAATTTTCAAGCCAAAGGTGATTATTTTGAGCCTTTTATAAATGACAGGATTTATCAGTTTACTAAATGCGTCATTGCTAGCTGGAGTGTCACATTCAGTTATGTTTGACCTTGGGTCGTGAATTGATAAGTTATCATAGGAGAAATAAGGACAGATGTGATGTTGTAAATTGTTATCTTGTCATTGTACATATCTGCTGATTGGGTTGGAAGTGGGTTACCTACATACTAATAGTGGAGTTCTTAACCTTTATAAAGTTTAGTGACATGACAGTGATTTTCTTTATGATTGTTGTGTGTAGTGAGAGGAAAACCCCAATCTTCTGAATGTTGACAAGGCCAAATAAAAAATATGTTGTGGTTCTGATTACACCTCTTTAAAATTTAGGGTAGGAATTCTTTTATTATTATTTTTACATTTTTATTTTAGAAGTAAAGTATGAACTAATAACACATTTATCAATGTGTAATTGTTTATTCAATCAAGCTTGCAGCCATCATGTCGATTTTCTCTGTCAGAATGACCAATATCCATTGGTGCCGGGGAAAAACAATGGTATCTGAAAGCTTATTTTATTCATACCTCTTAAAAAAACTAGGGTCGGCACCAGAATTCAAGGGTCGGTCGGGCAATCGGAACCACAGCATTTTTTTTAGGCCTAATAAATGACAACAGACAAAATTTCTGAAAAACCATTCAGCTGAGGAGTTTTTTAAAGTGCTACTAACTTTCAGTTAGTAGTAGTAAAAGTAAAAAAATCTCATCACTGATGTCTAGTGTTTGGAATTGGTTAAAATCTCATAATAGATGATTGGTTCATTACAACCAATCAATCATCAAGAATAATTGATCAGCGTCATTTATCAAGTTCTCCTGGTTATGTGTTAAGTGTTCCAAAATTGTTCGTGTTCGATTATGAGAAAAGATTATCGAATGCTTGGCCGTTTAGTCATTGTGACCAATCTTCGATTATTTCAATTAATTGGACCACCATTACTGATGTCATGGATATTTTCATTTTCTTTGCGTGTTAAATTCAGTTCCAGTTCCATAGTTTCAATTAGCAGTCCATATTAGCATTATTTCACGTAACCCAAGCTTGTACATTTTCAGCACACAATATTTACCGTCATCACTTGTTTGTAAACAAATGGATTGTTTCAAAGTTTTGAAATTTATACTGAAATTTGGATGATATTACTGTTCTAGATTTTAGGACTTGTCAGTGTCAACATCTGCCCTGATTATGTTAAACTATCATTTTATGTCTTTAATTATGTTAAAAATTTCAATCCGTATTGGTTTGCATTTATATTAAGTGAAATCACATGTGGAACTGATCAGCAGCTTGCACCATCTCACTGTCATTTACTTATACCAAAATCAGACTACGGTATTGGTGCCATTGTTGCTTTCTGATATAAAGCTAAGACCTATGATCTAGTCTTCAAGTCTTGATGTATACTTATAAACATGTAAGAGTGCTTTATGTACAGTAAAATCTGTCTTCATTTTATCTAACAAGAAACATGCTCTATTTACAGGCTTTGCTATGCAGTGCTTTTGTTCCATTCTATAGCGGCTTAATACCTCCCAAGTTCCGAGGAGTGGTATGTACTACATTAATATATAACTTGTCAAATAGCTTGTGTGAAATACATAAATATTGTTTGCATTCAATAACTGAACAACATGTTCGAAGGTTATATTATCCAGTTCAACTTGTTCTATACAAAATTGTTTTGGTTGTCAGCGCTACGTTGATGGAGGACTAAGTGACAATCTACCAATACTGGATGAAGACACAATCACCGTGTCACCATTCTCAGGCGAGAGTGACATCTGCCCCAGCGATGGCTCGTCGAACTTTCTTCACATCACCCTCGTCAACACCAGCATGCAGTGCACCACAGAGAACCTGTATCGACTCTCCCATGCCTTGTTTCCCCCACACCCGGAAGTGCTCAGTGATATGTGCAGACAAGGCTTTGATGACGCTCTGGTCTTCCTTCAGACCAACAGTAAGTAATCAGCATGGAATGAGTGTGAGCGAATGAGTTTAGTATTATGCTGCTTTTAGCAATATTCCAGCAATATCTCAGCGGGGGACACCAGAAATGGGCTTCACACATTGTGCCCATGAACCTGGGTCTTCGGTGTAATAAGTGAACGGTTTAACCATTAGGCTACCCCACCACCCATATCAGCATGGAAACTATGAACACAAATATCTTGCTGATTGGGTGTTGTAGGAATGCCTTCAGAAAGTTGTTACAGTTGTATGTTGTTTTACGAAACAGTGAGCTATGTTCCACTGGTGGTCTGTGAAGAATCAAAACTATGCAGGGAGTACCAGTGGTTGATGTCATGGACATAGTGTCATGTCATTTGGAATCAATGACACCGGATTCACAGGGCTTGTCATCTGATCCAGTTTAATCATCTCTTAGGACAAGCAATGGCATACTTTTAGGTTATTCTGACCAGGTATCCACTGAGATCTGCCATTCTTGGCTTCTCAAGTCAAAACAGTGGTTACAGTATGTCATTGTTTGTGGATGTCATGGATCTTTGCTAATTGTTTGACACAGTTTTTTATTGACAATGAATAAGGTTATTTATGAGCAGCTGTCCTTTCCCAACAAAAATACTGACTGAAGTTTTACTGTCACTATTTCAGATCTGATATCATGCACACGTCACCTTAGTGTGCGATCGTGTATATCGACAACAGACGCGGAAGAGAAGGATTCAGAAACAGAAGAGAGTGAAGAGGATGAAGAACATGATGAAAGTGACGATGAAGATGCTGACTGCGAAGAGTGTAAAAAGAAACTGCATGGGGCGCTGGTTGATTCACTGCCACCATCAGTTATGCTGGGTGAGTTGTATTCATTAGAGATGAAGTTGATAAGGAGATGAGGGCGCTTGTTCAGCATGAAGAAATTCTGTTTAAAAGGAGAGAAATATTACTAACACTACCATTAAGATTCCATACAATTGTCATCATGGTATATGTCACAGAGAGACAACTGTCATACTAAGCTGAGTCCAGTCAATTGGATTTTGCAACAAAGGACAACATTTTTTGAAAATGAGGAAAGCTGTTTTCTGACTACTACCGGTAATCAAAATTTTCCCTTAATCATATTGTGCAGTGATGTTGAGAGTTGTGGGTGAGGGTAACTTTCAGCCTTCATTATAGTTACGACAAACGCTAGTGATTTTACCATGTCTTGATAAACATCTGTGATGAATGAACTTCGACTGGTCAGAATATGTTGCAGATTTGTGCCCGAAAATATTTTTGGAGTAGTACTTGGAATGAAATTCATGTTAGTTACACAGGATTTATCTGACTTCCAGCATTCCAGCATGCATGTGACTCTGTGAACAAAGGGCTAGTGAACTACTTCTACAACTCCCGGCCAGTCAAACTCCTCTCCTTAGCTGCCACTCCATGGGTGCTGCCTGCAGAGATGGCGGTCCGGACTGTGGTCAAGTAAGTAAAAATGAACAAACAGCTCTAGACATGCAATATGTGCATGTGTTAAGTCTCCTGGGACATTACTTTTCCCTTCATCGACTGTGAAAGCAGGTCCAAAAGATAAGTGAGTGAATATTTAACAGTGTTGAAGGGGAGCCATGATGTACCGTATATGACCGTCTATAAGACGACCCCATGGATAAGACGACCCCCAAACTTGACCCTTAAAATCAGTGTCAAAATGGTATGTTTCGTGCATAAGTCGATCCCCGCGATCATATTTATTGTAGCAACAAACTTGCTTGCTTATTTTACCCCATTCAACAATCACGAACTGATTACCACCTCGTTTTCCATTGACTGCTAGTTTACAGTAACATCGGTAAACATGTGTGAATTTAAATGGCTTCCGTATTTTACCCCATTCCATGTGCGTACAACTTCTGCTTACCACGTTCATGAGGGTCCGTATAACCTTAGTGTTGATTATATATATTTTACATAAAAACTGTAATTAAAATTACACAATGCTAGGTTATATTTCTTTGGGTTGAATAATAGTACTCTGTATTATATTTTACTGATGACTGCATCAGAATTCGTCCCCTTATATTATTGTGCATGTTTGAACTTGATCGCCAGGAAACGTGTGCACAGCTGATTGCTATTTCCGGCTCAAATACAAATGGTAATCTTAATCTTAATTAATTTATAGAGCAAAAAACTGTAACTAAAATTACCCAATGCTAGGATATATTTCTTTGGGTTAAATAATAGTATTCTGTATTATATTTTACTGATGACTGCGTCAGAATTCGTCCCATTATATTATCTGTGCATGTTTGAACTTGATCGCCGGGAAACATGTGCACAGCTGATTGCTATTTCCGGCTCAGATACAAACGGTAATCTTAATCCCTGCAAATAATACAATGCCCAGCAAAAACAACTTAGAACTTAAAAGGTAAATAATCTTGTCTAGTGATGTTTAATTGCAAATTTGACGTCTCTACTGACAAAGTCATCTTCTGTTGTTTGTTCACGCGAAGTGATACGATGTTGTTTTCTTACCCCTGGAAAAAAGTTTGACGAAAGCGTAACCCATGGATAAGACGACCCCCTTCTACAGACTGCTTTTTTTGGTCCTCAAAATTCGGCTTATAGACGGTCATATACGGTAACTGTGATATTCAAAACAAATTGGGGTTCACACGTGACAGGTGTCCACCTCAAAGCATTTCCTCCTTACTTTGCTAGTTCCAAGTATTGTTGTTGGAGTGAATTATGTTAATAGTTAAGTGAAATAAACTGACTTGAGTATAAGTTGAGTGACTATGACAACAGTATATGTATTTAACAATGCAAGTAGACTTTTATGTGATGTTGTTGTGTTCAGGTTCCTGCAGTGGTTGCCATCGATGCCGCAGGATGTGCAGAGTATTGTGGGTGACACCGTGGAGCTGCTCAAGATCATTGCTATTAAGATGTTCCACCATCACCCGCGCGCTATTCAGCTAGGTGTGTACCCCCAACGGTGTGGTGCGGCCATCTTAATATTTGTATACACACTCTTTTCCTCTCCTTGTGTGTTAGGTAAATAGGCTTTTTGTCCTTGCTCGCATCCAGAACTACTAACAACATGGTTTTTAAGTCAACCCAAATGTTTAATGATGATCCCTCTGTATTCCTAAGGGACACCAGAAATGGGCTTTGTATGTTGTATATATGTGGAGTCAAATCTGAACTTCTTGTTGACGAGCAAATGCTGTAATACAAAGCCACCCCTATGGGTACAATGTGTGAAGCCCATTTCTGGTGTCCCCAGCCGTGATATATTACTAGAAACGGCGTAAAACCATACTCACTCACTACCCCTACCAACCCCCCTTAATCCACCCAGTCTTGCATATATGAGATTCCTTAGACCCCAGCTCAAAAGCTTGGAAATAGCCGTCTCCGTTCTACTGTTGTGTAACTGTTAAGGGAGGTTAACATTTTTCTGCTACTGGCTGGGTTGTGGGGAAAGAGTGGAGGGTGTTTGAACTTGTGTTAATGAAACAGACATCATGTTAGCATCAATTGTACTTTCAGGTTTACTTGTCAACTGGCCATCACTGAAGTAAAAGATCCAAAGGAGACTACACGACGCAGTCGCTTGTCAACTCGAAGAAGACCTTCCTTTACCCCTGGCAATCGCAGCACCGTCAGCAGCAGACGTAAGAAATACCCTGAGGCAGCAGCCAACAACAGTGCCATAGTTCGCAACTTCAACATCGGCTTTGCTGTCGACTTTAACACCTCCAAGCCAAGCACAGTTCGGTCTCTAGAACATCTGCATGGACACATGGACAAACTACAAATGGAGGATGTTCAGATACAGCAGTCCAGCCCCACAGGTGATCTTCTGTACCTACCTCGTGGTAGCGATCAATGCTCTCCAACTACCGCTCCCTGTCAGGAAATATTCGACACATTTGAGCAGTGTCTACATATAACGAACCAGATGGAGTCGGCACTCTCGTATTATTACGAGGATCCCACAAACAAAGGGTGCTATAAGTTTGAAGAGATTTTCAGTTTGAAAAACGTTGATGTTGATCTTCATGAATCACGTTCAGTGAGGACTGGCATCTGTGAGTCAAGTACAGAAGTGGAAGAAAGTTTGACAAATACTTCTACATCCGAACCTGATTTGTCGTGGGATAGCTATCTTGAAATGAAGCCAGAAATTGAAGATGAATTGGAGGCATTGATTGACTCCGCATTATCAATTCCGCAGTTACAGTCCACGGGGATAGAGAGCTCGCCAAAAGAAGCTTAAGATTTAGTAGTCAGAAACATCAAGTGCTATCTCACAGTGAGTTGGATAAGAACTCCAAAACATGGAGTCTTGCCACATTGTGAAACCTGTCAAGGATGAGGGAGTAACATTTTTGTTGCAAACCTGGAGTCTACCAGTCAATTACACTATATTTTATCATGAAACTGTCATTTAACTTCCAAGTAACCAAATTCATCATTTTTCACCGCCATGATGTTTCCAACCTTGCCTTGCAGTTACTTCTGAAATTTTATGAAAAAAATGTTGTTTAACATTACATTCCCAGTTGATTCAGTCTAATTTCATGTTAAAATGTGTTCTGTTTTTAGTGCAACCTGTTAGGTTTCAATATTGTTTTTTGTTGGTAGTCAGATTATTTACTTTGTTAACTTTTCCTTTTAATTTGGTTTGACAAAGAATGTCTGTAAGAATCTTGATTTTGTTTTACAATTTGTCCACATAAGGGAAAGAAGGTTTTGAAAACCAGTCCTCATTTTATTTGGCAGTTGTTAAATAATTTTAGTTGTTTTATGAATAATTTTATCAAATCCATTGAATCTTTATTCACTCAGTGCCTATACATGTCTTAAATTGCAGCAGAGGATCACATAATGCATGGCATATCAGATCCCCATGTGACTTTTTTAGAATTAGTTTCAGGTAGAACCTTTTTATAAGATTTTACAAAAATCTGTTATTTGCTTAATGTTGGGTAGTTGACCAAATATTATTGGCCTTAGCATGAATGAAAATGTATGGGTGACATTTAATAGGGTATTTTTGGGATATATTTTGATGTACACAAGATCTTTTAGTTGTAACAAAGTCTACTGAGGCATATTCATACTTCATTTGAATCATTGTGCATCACCTCATTAATACTGATGTATATATAATCAAGTGTACATATAAACTTATGTATACCTAACTTGGTAAGAACTAAATTCAAACACTTTACTACAAAATACCCATCAGGTAAATTTGCACTGACCTGCAGGAATAAGTACTATCCCAGGACTAGTGAGCTGGTACTTGCCTGTGGGTATTAGTACTAACCCTGACTAGCGTGCTAATATCAGTACTAACCCTGACTAGCGTGCAAGTATCAGTACTGGTGGGCAAGTGTTAAGTTCTCATCCAGCCGAACAATATGTATATGTATTCATATGTATACATGTCTTCCTCATGCAAAACCGGTAATTAAATGGCAGTCTAGACAAAAGCATGGAATATTCAGGGTATTCTTTCTTTGAGTGGAACTTGCATGAACTGAAGGAGTACTCCTTGATCATCAAGTGTATAAATCTCGTTTCTGTTTGATAAATACCTGGGACCTTTTCACCACAGTATCTTCATTTTGGGAGTAATGTCCTCATCGGGATTTCTGATCAACTTGGCATGACATATCCGCACCCTGTATCCCCATCATCTGTATCCCCACCCTCTGTAGCTCCAGGGCTCATATTTCTGTACACCAACGTGCAGTGGGGTAGCCTAGTGGTTAAATTGTTGGCTGGTCACGCCAAAGACCCAGGTACATAAGTACAATGTGTGAAGCCCATTTCAGGTGTCCCCAACTGTGATATTGCTGGAATATTGCTAAAAGAGACGTAAAACCATACTCACTCTCTGTACACCAACACTGACCCCTGGTTCCATCCCCATGGTGCTTGTGATCACAAATTACCAGCCCTTGGTTTTCAATATTTTACCTATCAAACATGGACTTAAGTGTAAGGGAGGTAACTCATATTACAAAGAAACCAAAGCCCATGTTCATAAATTGAATTCAATAACCAATCAAAATTTGATCTGATTATAAAATTGCAGCCCCATATGAGCAAACCCTTGTTAGATTGGATCAAATTGGAACTCGCTTCAAATTTTCTTTTGGCTGGGGACATACTTTACTGAATGGAATGGGGATAGGAATTCCATATGCTGTCAGAAGGTTCTAGTTGTTTATAGACGGATTGCAGCCAAGTGTCACATTGAAGAGAAATGAATATGCACTTATGTCATGTCTTAGAATCAATACATGTGGCAGGTTCTGTTTACTCTGAATATACTAGCTTCTGTAAAAATATTGTTAATTTTCCTATGCAAATTATAATGGCTTTGTACATACCGAAATGCTATTTATTACATGATTATTCATCATAAAAGTGTTTTATATATTTTTCATAAGCCATGAGGCTTATTCATGTCTTGTTTTCAAGAACTTAATTCGAAATGGCCATTGTACATCCCAGTAATACAGTACATCTTGGGGTGAAACAAATATCAAATTGGTGACTGTTCTGAATAGTTTTATTCCGTTTTGTCAGAACAAACACTGTAAATGTGCAGTTACAATCCAGATCTCCAGAAAACAATGATTTCCAAAATGTGTGATGCACAGATGAGAGCGACAGGTGAAATCGGGTTTGACATAATGTTGGAAACTATTCACTAAAATAAGAAGGTGCATACATTTTGTGTGTGTCTAGTTTTAGTGTTAACTATTGCTGGTGTTAGTGTGCAAGCTACAATGCAGGCTCCACACGATTCTCTTATCACATATTCTTTTATTAAATATGTGGTAATAGTCACCAGGCTTGTAGTGTTAACAGAAGTTACATGCATTGTTCATACCTGACATGCATGTCTCTTTAACCTTATTATAGATATTGTCTACTTTATACATATTAGTGTCTATTGACACTTGAATTACTTGCAACAATAGACATTATTGTCATCTGCAGAAATTGATATAAGTGAACAAGCTCAGATATCAAATCAATGAAAACCAAATGGTGATTTTTTTTCTCGGACATCAGTGCCACAAAAATTGAAAAAAAAAGGTCTGATCTTAGTACACATTCTTGTTCAGACATAAAATAGACTTGTACCCAACACAAAACCCCAATTCTACACCAGCTGCTGTTTATTTTATTATATTTGTGTTTGTCTCAATTTATTTCTACACATCCTGCCTGTTTGAACAAAATGTGAACATAAGAGATTATTTGCAAGAATTCCTCAAATAGATGTATGACCAAATAATGCCAATGTTTTCTTCCTGTTCAGGGCTGATGTAATGTCCTGGTGACAGTTCACCATCTGCCTGTTTACACAATCTACTGGATGATCAAGACTGAACCATCTCACTCTTGATGTCCCAAATATTTTCTCATGTAAACTCTGTTCTTGCAGTCAGAATCATGTTTGGGTCAGATGATTATCCCTGTTCATTCTCATCATACCTGAGCTTGTGGACTGCACCAAAATGGTATTAAATGGTTTGAGACATGTCTTTCCTCCATGTCGAGCTGACAAGTGTGTATTACCAGTTCAAATCCTCATTCTTTTCTGGTTTGATTCCTTCTTTTCACAAAATTTGTATGTACTTTTCTGTGACTTCAGAGACATTGTACAGTGGTGATGTGTACATATATGAAAAACAATCATATGTACTATTTGTCAGTTTGTTTATATGTATATGTATCGCTGTATTTATTGGTATTGTTTATATACCTCAGTGTACATTCTTGTACATATGTCATCAAGCGTGACGCAATAAACAACAGTTTAAATGAAAAAATAGCTTTTGGTTGTGAAAGTGATTCTGCCCAGTCATCGCACTGAGTGCTCCGTGAGATAGCATTGCGCATGTGCGGAGTGACGTCACTTCAGTGCGTTCGTATGATGCGGAGGCGACGGATGTGTTTTGTCATCGCTCTAATTGAAACATGTGGTGAGTGGGCTTTTGGCCTTGTTAAGGTGAAAGCCGGTGTTGAAGTTGAATGTTGTAGACATTTTTGTATGGTGTTAGACGGTGGTGGGTTTACGAACGTAGTTCATTTACAGACAATTAACAGTGTTGTTTTTGAAATATGGCACAAGCAGAAGTGTCGTCGATGTCAGACAGCGATCAAGTTGATGTACGCAGTTCAAAATCATGAAGCGATAGGAGTTCGAAGAACTCTGCGGAGAGTAAAAAAGGAAAGTCCAAAACTTCAAAATCAGAACGTCCGCCTGAAGTTGTCAGGTAACAATCTACAGGGATGTTGCCATTCCCATCAATGTCCTCAGTGATGGCAAGTGAAACAACCGCTGGCACAGGAGCCATTTTCCAATCTGCGATACTAGAAATTAGATTGGCGATGAGGGAAGGCTTTGAGACGATTGCCGATTCAATTAAATCTCTGCCACAGGAGACCGGTGGTTTCAATGAAGGCTATTATCATGACTACTATGATGATGATTATTATGAGGATGAAGCCGATAATGAATCGTCAGTTCTGCAAAGTTGTGATGAGGGTCCGAGTGATCCAAAAAGACAAAAGTTGTCTGATCAAGACTTAGTGTCTAGTTTGATAGGATGGCAGGACGAAACTGTCAACGAGGCTCCCAAATCTGCTGTCAGTGACAAAAATCTTTCGATACTTGAAAAAATAGCCCAAGAACTGGACACTACAGTGAGAAAACAAGCCCATCGGTGGATGGTAAACTGGCTGAGATTGTGAATGATTGATCTTTAAATTGAACAAACCGGATGAAGTAAAAATGAAGGAGTTTAGAGAACGTACGAAGACCAGATAATTGCTGTGCATTGGTGCAAACAAAAGTGGAGGGCATTGTTTGGAAAAAACTAAGTGCTACATCCCAATCTGTTGGTGCCAGAATGCAGAGAACACAGTTGTCTCTTATTAAAGGGATGACCGAAACTACAAAGATGTTAGATAGACTACTGACATTCAGAGATACTACTGGTGAAGAGAACAAGGCTTTTATAGATGAGATTCTGAACAGGGTATAGAAAGTCTGTAATTTACAGCTTATGCCAACTATGAACTGAATATGAGGAGAGAATTCATCACGCAGGGTTTACATCCAGACTATGCATCAATTATGTCCTCCACATTACCTATTAATTCAAAACTCTTTGGAGGGGATGTGCCAAAGGTGTTAGGAGACATAGATAAATCAAACAAACTAACCAACAAGATGGTGGTGCCAAGACCACACTGGGGTGCAAACAGAGTCCGGCGCCCACTTTGTGGGAATAAGCTTACCTGGAGGGGCAACTCACGTAACATCTGTAGAGGCGGCCCTTATTGGTACTGTGGATTTACAAGAAGGTGTTTTTTTGGCAGTCGTCAGGGTCCCCCTCCACAAAACAGATAGGGGAAAGTCAAAGCCTGAACCAACTTCCCACACTGATGAACAGGTATGTGATAGTGTACCTCTTGTGAATGTCAGTAGGTTTACAGCAGGTAGACTGAAACAGTTTGATGAAAATTGGAAAGAAATCACATCGGATCAAGTAATTTTAAATTTGATTCAAGGTTGTGGAATTGAACTTGAGGAGGTTCCAGAGCAGAACTTTACTCCAAAACAAATCATATTTGATTCAAGGGAAACAGAAATCATTGATTCAGAAATAGAGAAATTTCTAATAAAGGGAGTTATTGAAGAGACAGAACCAAATGAGGGTCAGTTTGTATCAAATATTTTCATAAGACCCAAGAAAGATGGTTCATACAGACTTATGCTGAATCTGAAACACTTTAATAAGTCAGTAACCTATCAACATTTCAAAATGGAAAGTCTAGACTCTGCAATTAAGTTGTTGAAGCCAGGCTGTTACATGGCATCAGTAGATTTAAAGGATGCTTACTATTCTGTACAGGGGCGGTGGGGTAGCCTAGTGGTTAAAGCGTTCGCTCGACACGCTGAAGACCCGGGTTCGATTCCCCACTTGGGTACAATGTGTGAAGCCCAATTTCTGGTGTCCCTCGCCATGATATAGCTGGAATATGGTTAAAAGCGGTGTAAAACTGAACTCACTCACTGACTATTATTCTGTACCAGTCAAAGCAGAGCATAGAAAGTATTTAAGGTTTATGTGGAGAAGCAAACTGTTTCAGTATACGTGTCTGCCAAATGGTTTAGCATGCTGCCCCAGACAATTTACCAAGTTGATGAAACCGTTTTTTGCCTCATTAAGAGAGAAAGGCCATGAGAGTGTACCCTACATTGATGATTCTTATCTGCAAGGAGATTCATTTGATGAGTGTCGTGCAAATGTTCGAGACACAGTCTACTTAGTTCAAAAGTTAGGGTTCATTCTCCATCCTACAAAGTCTGTATTAGTGCCATCACAGTCTGTACTGTTCTAAGGTTTTGTTTTAAATTCTGAAAACATGACTGTCAAGTTAACAGATGAGAAAGTCTATACAATTGAAAAGGATTGTTACATATTTACAAGAAAGAAATTCGTGAAAATTAAGACTGTGGCTGAAATTATAGGGAGACTAGTGGCTAGTTTTCCAGGAGTAGAGTATGGCCCGCTTCATTATAGGAAGTTGGAAAGGGCAAAAGCCAAAGCATTAAAGGAAAACAATGGAAATTATGATAGACTACTAGAAATATCAGCATGCATGATGAAAGATCTGACATGGTGGCATTCGAACATTGCTAGGTCCCAAAGAGTTATCTCCCATGCTACACCTGAAGTAATTATTGAATCTGATGCCTCATCCATTGGATAGGGGAGCACATTGTGGGGATATAAAAACAGGAGGCAGTTGGACTGCTTTAGAAGCAGAAAAACATATAAATGAGTTGGAATTGTTAGCAGCTTTATATGAAATCCAATCTTTGGTAAAAGAGTATAGAAAGGTGCATATTCAAATTCAGATGGACAACACAACAGCTGTGTGTTATGTAAATGCCATGGGGGGGGAGCAAATCAGTAGCTTGTGACATCATAGCTAGGGACATATGGTATTGGTGCATAGAAAGAGATATCTGGCTGAGTGCCACACATATACCTGGCAAACTGAATGTGGTTGCAGATAGGGAATCAAGAGTATTTGATGACCAAACAGAATTTGTGAATTATGGGGTACCCTAGATATGGATTTATTTGCATCACGGTTAAATAAACAACTTGAGACTTATGTTTCTTGGAAATGTGATCCACAAGCCTACCATATTAATGCATTTACACTAAGTTGGTGTGGTTTTAAATTCTATGCTTTTTCTCCATTCAGTACAATTGGGAAATGCCTGCAGAAGGTCACAGAGGAAAAGTCGGAGGGGGTGATAGTGGTTCCCTTATGGAGCACCCAGGCCTGGTACCCGAGACTGATGAATATGCTGGTGGATGTACCCAGAGTGCTACCCAGGCAACAGAGACTGCTAACGCTACCATGGTCAGAGAAGCTGCATCCACTGAGGAACAAACTACACCTAATGGCCTGTCGCTTGTCAGGAGAAGTCTCAAAGCAAGAGGAGTTTCGGAGGAAGCTCAGACTGTCATGCTTGAATCATGGAGGAGTGCAACTCAGAGACAATATAAAGTCTACCTGCAGAAGTGGGCACAGTTCTGTAGTGAAAAAGACATTAATCCAATTCATGGAACTGTGAATAATGTGTTAGATTTTCTGACTGTGTTATATAAAAATCGAAAAGGATACAGTGCTCTGAACACTGCAAGATGTGCTCGGTCTGCATGTGTAATATTGGATGACTGTAAAGACACAGTGGGATCACACCCACTAATAACAAGGTTTCTTAAAGGGGCATTTAATGTAAGACCTACAAGGTCTAGGTATTCAGCAGTGTGGATGTTGGATGTTTACTGGCTTGGTTAAGAACACTGGTTCCAAATGCAAAGTTAGATTTGAAGTTTTTAACATTCAAGTTATGCTGTTTGTTAGCTTTAGTTACTGCACAGAGAGTGCAATCTTTACATTGTTTAAAGTTAAGCAATCTCACAGAATATAATGATAAAGTTGTTTTCAATTTGAAGTTGCTTAAACAAAGCAGACCTGGTATGATGTAAAGATTTGTGGAGTTATCTCCCTTTGACCAAGACCCAGCCTTGTGTGTTGTGAGTGTACTTGATACTTA